TATATAATGTGTGTGTGTGTGTGTGTGTGTGTGAGTGAGTGAGTGTGTATATAGTATCCGACTTTTGTCTGCTGTCTGCATAGTTTATCTGGCCAGTATTAATGCGCATCGAATTGAGATATGCTCGGCCGTGGCTTTCAGATCAACATTGAACTTTTCCAGATCCGCTGTTCTTCAAATTTCTCTCACCGACAATGCATATTGGTGAATGCGTTCTGTATGACTCTGAATGAAAGATTGCATAGGACACCAACATCCCTTCTTTTCTTGCTATCGTACTCTGCAGCCAAAGGTACCTTCTCAGCCAACAGTGCACTGGTGTACGTATGGGCGGCTGGGAATGACTTGGACTGCTGTTCATTGGCAGTGCTCATCGCTCTGAGAGAGGCCGGTGTGACTGTGTATGTGGACCCCGCATGTTTACAGGAGAACAGCGTGAGTGATGTTTCCAACTACTACCTTGCTTGGGAATTCGAATTTAACCAGCCCAAAAGGTAAGTGAGTATGCCCATGGACAAGTACCTTTTTGTGAAGAACTAGGTGGGGTGCTAGATGAGTCCACCTTTGGCGCATATCCATTCGCATTCCGATACTCATCGTTTCCAAGTGATCTATCAATTGTACATCACTTGCGGAATGAATAGAACATTGCTCCTGGCGATCTCACCATGTTTACCTCTCGCACCCGTATATTCTGTACTGCACTAGATCATACGTAAAGCCACGCAAGGCTATCGGCTCGGCTCAAAAAAACAAATGTAACAAAAACGTCTTTTTCCCTCATGTCCGAGATAAGATTTTAACCAGCCGTTGAGCCCGGCCTTAATGTACTGGACAAAGCCTTACAAATTCGCTATTCAGCAATCTGATAATATTGCTTATCTGCTCTGTGCCACCGTACAGCCGTCTGCCAATTCAGTCTGTCTAGACATATCTCACACATCTCATAACATAGTTTAGAGACCAGAATATTAAATAGTGATTCAATCGCATTGTCAAGCACCACAACAACATTTAACTTGACACACAGGCTTAAAGGTTCCCAATCGTTCCTTGTTTGTACGCCGTTATCCGTTCACTTTACTTTGCACACCTGAAGCCTTTCGTCGTGTTTACTATCTGTACCAACCGAATTAGAAAGTATTTTCTGATACTACTTCCTCCGAACGTGCAGTTGGGAATGCCTTGGTCCTTGTGCATCGCTTCTGGACAGTGACGTGTGCCCGACAGGGCTGACATGTGTGTCTACAAGCTACAAAGACTATACGTGCAATTGTCCAAAAGGCTATTCATATAGTCCTATACAGCCAGACGATCTTTCGATCGTAGAAACAGACGAAGATACAGATGATCCGACCACAGTTGTTGATACTGGTCGAGGTCCGGAGAGACTGGAGGACTGTGTGAACGATGACGAGTGTGCTCTGGGGACTCATGATTGCCATCCGGAAGCGCAGTGCACGGATACCGTGGGTAAGTGCATATAGACGACGTACCCGTTCTAGCAACTGTAGCTTGGAGCCTGATCAACGACACCTTTCTATTTTGTTTGAAATATTGAAGATGTTGCAGCGTTCAGAACGGAGACTCGGTGCAGTGCGTGATTAGAGGTGCTTTGTGATGGTCTGTTTGCACGAGTGAAAATTAAGTTGCTTTTGTTTTTCTTAGGATAAGATATTTCGGACCTGGGCTAACGTTTGTGTGTAGAACATACCAGTTGTTATAGTAACATCTAGCGTTGTTCTGTAAAAGTTACTTTAGTTCTGGCAGTTTATCTCTGGCTATATTTGACGCTGCTTGTCTTTGTGGATGTTATCTCTGTACTCTCTCTGTGTAGACATAAGCTACACGTCAGTGCATATGATCTGAAACCTAAGAAGAAATTGTTGCCGCCTGATATAAAAGCAACTATATCTCACGTACTCCTAGTCCAGATGAATCCATTATTCGCTTCGCAAAACGCATGCATTATTGATACACACCTAAAAATATACTTTTAAATATATACCAACATATCACTCACTAACAAGCACGTGAACATTTCGAATCAGGTTCGTTCACTTGCAAGTGCAACGCTGGATTCTCAGGAAGCGGGCAGGATTGTTTCCCTGAGAACTTTGCGTTTTTTAGGCCTCCTATATATGCCGTGTTGTCCGAACATTTCGATGGCGGAGATGTGGATGCAGAGCTAGATACACACGTGCTAGGCGTTTATATGTTTGACATACTCGTGCAGAGGGGTCAGTGCTCGTTACTGTGCTACACTGATGCGAGCTGCAAGGAGTTTGTGATAGACACTTCGGGCCAGTACTCGGGAAGGTACGTGTGTGATCCTCAATACATATACTTTCTAAGGGCTACGCTATGCTTCGGAAGGCTCGTGGTGGACGATTTCAGTTGAATTAGGTTTTTTGTCGTTGCACCACGTTCGCGTCTTCTGAACATGCGATATGTCAGCATAGTATCATAGACCTGGTAAAGTATTCGAGGAATTGCGTAGAACCCCAACTGAGTCTTGAAGTTTCTGTTGAGAAGAGTGTGATTGGTCTATGATGTTGCAGGCAGCAATCGTATTGTGATTAGCTGAACTTATGTCTGCTGCATAGTATACAAATCGATGCATTCTTCGGGGCATCCTTCCGGGCAAACTTCGGGTAACTTATACGTTCAGTCATCACTAACAACTGCCCTCACTTAAATTCTCTGGCAGGTGTATAACAAAGTCAGAGGCCAGCAACGATACGATAGCGCTGTTTGAACAGACCGTACTAAAGAGTGCGTACGTATACACCAAAATTCAACCAGGTCAGTATCGTATAACGGATAGTTTGTTCAATCAATAGGGTACACATCTACAAAGTTATGCCTCAGAACTTTGGGGTAGTGTATTTGTTATCGTTGTCATATCCACTCAACTGTCTGCTGCGAAACGTTCGCTCAGATGAAGACAAATATGTTTGAGAAGTATTCGTGATGGCAATCTCCATAAAAAAATCTGAAATGAGAATGCTGTTCGTGAGGTTATGTTCAGGTTAATGGTACGCATCCCGGAGCATTTAATGACTTGAGCTTACATAATCGTTTTCTTCTAATATATTGTTTAGTGGCTGTCCTCAACTATCTTGGGCCTTCTGTTGGATACCTGTCAGGAGAGGGGGCGTTCAATCTATCGAGAGAAGGTGAGTATAAACCTATCGTTGTCATAGTTGTAGAATATCTGGCCTACAATACGATTGCCCCTTTGAATGCAGGCAGATAAAACCAACATTGGTTGACATACCTCGTACCTATCGGCATTCATACTTTGGCGCAGCGATTGCGGCGTAAAACGCACCTAAACACATTTTCCAAGGATGATCTCTTCGTTCGTACGACAACTGACTCATTTCCACTACAACAGACGCACACCTGCGGCAACCCCACGCCTTACAAATTCAATCAAGTCTGCCATAAAACAGCCCTCCGCAAACGCCTCAACAAAATTGTCACTAAATCAATGGTGCGCTAATTTCACGATAATGTATTGATCATAGCAGGTCACTTCGACAATGCCGACATTTTTAATTTCCTGGTCTTGAATATCTGTTGTTCTTGTGTGTAGTATAGGTTTGTAATACTTTTGTCCGATTGAAAAGTGCACCAGTAAAATTATACTAAACCTATATTAGAAAAAGACATGGCAATATCGAATATGACAGTGATTAGATAATCAATACAGAAATCAGTCTTTGAAAACTATGAGAACAATTGATTTCACGCAGACGACAACCGTGAAACCGATATGTATCAAGAGTTGTGAACACCTTTAATATTGATTCCACCTATATAACGGCCAGCACGGCTTGATCGTTACAAGTCATCGTTTCTCTCGTGAATTTGGTATATATCAGAGAAGTTAATCAAATGGAATAACCACACTTGTTATGTATATATGAAAGCACTGCATCGGACAACACCGCCTGGTTTTGATGCAAAGGCTGCCATCGACAGGTTATATTGCACAGTAGTTTCCTAGTATCAAATATCTGGAAGCGAAGATCACTTTGCGATTTTGCCAATAGGAGCACGAGGATTTGTTTGATGCAATACACTCTGAATTAGCAGGCTTACACTCCAGAAACCCCTAGCGAGCGCACTCACAGTCTATTCTCATCTATACACTTTGGCCCTCGCATGTGACCACTCAAAGTACGTCTAAAGGAGACTGAATGTGCATCCTGGTGCAATGAACTGAGTTCCTGCCGATCATTTGACGTGGCCTTGGGCGGCTCCAACGCCGGAAAGTATGTATTCGAATTTGCCTTTGCATACTAGGATAGAAGCGTGTCATAGTGATAGAGAGCTCCTTACATAATATTGTGCATTAGTCAGTTTCGATCAATGTATTTTGGTTTCATTGATATGGCCTGCTCTATGGTCAGCGGCTGCAGGTGTGATGACGATGCCCCAAATATAAGCGGACACCTTGTATTGGTTTCACAGTACCCCAACACACATTGTACGTGACCTCATATTGCATGTGCATTGCACGTGACCTCATATTGCATGTGCATTGTACGTGACCTCATATTGCATGTGCATTGCACGCGACCTCATATTGCATGTGCATTGCACGTGACCTCATATTGCATGTGCATTGCACGTGTCCTCATATTTCCTTCTGATCAGCATCATATAGACCAGATAAGTCAGTTTAAGATATGAATTACTTGAGGTAGCCCATCTCGTTTCATGCACAATAACGTACACACGGGGGTGCATATGTGTACAAGTATTTACAAGCATGGGCGTAGACAGTGCGATGGCTTAGTATCACTGTTTGCTCATTCAAATACGCACTTCTGTATCTCTACACGGGCAATTGCCCGCAATTTAGTAGTATGAACAGTTCTAAAGTTTTGTTGATATAGTGCAGATGTAAACATATGTGCTTTTACATTTATAAACACGACTTGACGAAGCAAGTCTTCCTGTTCTCTTTACATAGTGGTGAATTCGTTCAAGTGTTTATATCATCCGAGAACAGCAGATATGACAATTTCAGGACCGATGCCTAGGTAGGTAGATAATCAAAATGTTATGCATAACTTCAAAGGCGTAATAATATTTGTTTTCCTCGATTCAGGTGCCAATTAAACACAGTTACATCAGTGGCCACTAGTTTGGATACACACACGAACACAGGTATTGATAGTACCGGCCAGGAGACAAACATAACCACACGTGTGGCGTTAGACAACACTACAGCGCAGAGTACCGCCCCCGCAATTCCCCAGTATAACTTCGACGAAGGCAACGTGTTTCGCTATACAAGGCAACTCTTGGACCTGTCTACAGGTATGTTTAGGTGCCTGGCCCACACTTTGTGGTTGTTCTATTTAAAGAGTGTTTCTGCATCTCACTTCCACAGTAAAATAGCTTAGTTGCCTTATCTACCTTGGACATCAGCGATACTAAGATCTGGTTTGAACCCAAATGTGAGTGTGTGCAGGTGAATGTCATCACGGATTTATTTGTGTAGATGAGCTATTCAAATATAAACACCCCCCTGGCAAAGTATGTATTCCACGCCAATATGTTACTGGTACTCGAGCAGTTGATTTAGTCGTCTTCGAACGCCGATTGTTGGCATATATGTGTATATATTACCTTGACATGCCATCGTAAAGGCTTGAGAATGGACATCTTCACTCTAGTGAAGTCGTAGATAGACACCCAGATCTATTCCAATTTCTGAAAAGCAGTGGGATTCAAAATATTCTTTTCAGGGGTTGCGCGTGTACATCAAGCTTGCTTGTTTATATCCGTACACACTTCGATTTGTGTAGTCCACTCTGGTAAACAGGCTATGCATAATCACTCGTAGCAGAGCCTCCTCTACTGCAAATCACAAATGATTCAGCATTAAAACATTATATGAAAATTCTCCTCATTCTACCTGCACATTTTCTTCACTCGAACCTCGCAGACTGTGGTGATCTGTTCGGGTGTCTCACGTGCACCTCAGATAATAGATGTGTGATATGTGAGAGCCCCTTTAGACTGTCAAGCGCCGCACTTTGCGAGTGCGAAAAAGGCCAATATCTTCAAAATTTTCACGTACCATACAAATGCAACGGTATGTCCTACTGAAGTGTACCCATGTAGTGGTAGGATTGGATGTCACGATAACGCGTGTATATGCACTGTGGTGTCAATATTCCAGTAGGTTACAAGAAATATAGTACATTAACTAGCATGCTTTTGATTTGGCGTCTACTACTTAAGTAAATAACCATGTTTATACATATATAGTATAGTATCTACATGAGCCAAGTAGTGGCGCAAGTTCTTTGCGATAAGTTATATGCAATAGGGTGCATCAACTAGGATGCACTTGATTTGGCTTATACTACTTCAGTAAATAATCATGTACGATAGTCTATATGTATAGAACTACTTTACCCACGTAATGGCGCAAGTTCTTTGCGATAATTTTTATGCAATAGGGTGCATCAACTAGCATGCACTTAATTTGGCTTATACTACTTCAGTAAATGATCATGTACGATAGTCAATATATATAGTAACTACTTTACCCAAGAAATGGCGTATTTTTTTTGGTGATAAGTTACAGGCGATAGGGTGCATTAACTAACATGTACTTGATTTGGCTTGTACTACTTCAGTAAATAATCATGTATAAAAATAGTCTATAAATATAGTATCTACATGACCCAAGTAATATAGCATGTTCCCGTGTGCTCTTGCATATTCGAACGTATCACCTTTGAACAGTATTGTTTTTCTTTGTAGCTGAAAACTGGTCCCATTTTTATGGAGGATCCAATTTCTTTGTAAGCGCGTATGATCCAATTCATATGTTCGAATCCATCACAGTGGAATCGTTGCAATTCGGTGCGCGTTCTCTTGTAGCTGAAGGCGGATGTGATGCCAATAGCGGATCGATTTTCTTTGTATTTGGCTGTATAATGCAATTGCTACTTACCAAGGTACCTAGTACTTGTAAATTTGATACCTTTCAACACATTTCTACTCAGATTGCTCGGCAAACAAATGCCGCCAGACTTACCTACCTTGTTCTGCATACAATGACCTGATATGTGCATCGTGTCCGACGGGGTGGTACGGTCGGCAGTGCGATCAAGTATGTGGAAAAAATTACTAACCAAAAAAATACGAACTACGTCTGTTCGTGTTTGCGTATGTAAACATCTACGCCCTTGTATATATTATTATAATCTTTCAAAGTGAGCGTAAGTGTTTTGGTGTGTCGTTGGCCGTGTGTAGCGAATGTGTGCAATCAATTGTATCAATTAGTTTAGATTGAGATTAGAATTTGAGATTCCCGTGCAACTGCGTGGAATAGTCTCCATGACTCATCTATGCTGAACACTATCTCTATTCACTGCAAACACCAGTCCTGTATCATACATACGTGTAAGTATCTGTGAATGCGTTTTGGTTTGCGCATCGGAAGTGAACGGACTATGATACGCAACTCACAATTGTGGAGGCTGATTCTATCATACCTACTCTGTCGAATAGCGCTGGAATCCTGAAATACGAGCAAAGCAGTTCTATTCGTAAACATCGATCCTCTCAATTGAAACGGTTTGTTTTGATCGTATCAAAGTGTTTTCCTGCGCATCTCAAATATACTTACCATTTTTGATATTATATTAGATATCCGACATCGATGAAACTGAGAAGCCGATTTCAGCTGACTCTATTGACCCCGCGATAACATCGACTTTGCCGGGCGAGCAGTTCCCATCTAACGGCAAAGGTATATCCAAAAATTATCAATGCGAGTCTGTCCATTTCATTTTGCTAAATTGTATCCTGTCAATTAGATTTACTACTATGTTTAGCTTCCAGTTTGAGTAGAGAAATTTATGTTGGTAAAAAATGTATGCGGTGAAATATTCGTATGTAGAGTCAGTCAAGATGTTCTTTTTCATCTGGGGCATACCTGCGTTGCACATGTCCTCGTGCTGATTCGCATGCGTGAACGAAGGTCTGCATTGGTCTATTACATGTAATGCTCCTGTATTATATTGATACGGAATCGGATGATAAATATGCTGCATAGACTTCAATATTTAGCACAGAATTCTCGAGACAAGCTACTCAAGAATACACCGCACAGATGTGGCTATCTCGTGCGTGAAAACTGGATTGCCACTCTCTTACCTAGTGAATAGGCGCTAATGGCATTGGTGCACGAGCGAATTCCGCTATTTGATTTTCTGACATACTCCTCATGCAACCAGTCAAGTCTTGACGTTTCCAAACTAATGCATAGATCAACGATATGCACCAGTATGTTGTTGCAATTCCTAGTCTACAAACTTGTATAGAGGTACCTGTGTAGCTTCAGCTAGCGCTTGTATTGGCTCAGATCACTATTAATTCCCTAGGGCGCATTGCAAATTTTGTCATATTTCAAATTCAGACCCCAAGTCATGAGCGAAGAATTGAATTTCGGTGCTAGTCATGTGTAGCGTATTGTGTGATCTTGAAGTAAGAAGGGAAATGATTTGTATAACCTGTATATCTCCAATCATAATTCAGTGATGATCCCATGGCCGAAAAATAGCAGCTAATCATAATCTGAATATTTCTATACTCAGAGAGCAGCAGTGCCGCAGCGGGGAATCCGATACTGATCAAGGGATCACCAAATATCACCATAATACTCATTGTCGCAGTGCTTGTGGCTGTTTTGATGGCATCTCTAGTAGCTGTTATAATTGTACTTTTAATACGAAGGAAACGACGGAAGGAAACCAAGAGGTAAGTGGATGAGTTCTTCTGTACGCACTTTGCTCTTCTGTACGCACTTTGCACATGTATCACTCTCCTAAGTAAATAGGATATAATTTGTGAATATGATATGTCCTCAGCATCCGTATTCTTTCCTGAGTGTTCATGTGCGCGTGCACTATATGCATCTGCCACGACTCTCGAGAGTCGAGCTTTTGAACAACTAAGCTAAACCCCAGAAAGAAATTGAGTCTCTCAAAAACTTGTAGTCACTATTGTGTAATACTTTTTTACACTTGTGACGTATCTCTTATGGTTTATTTTCTCTAGCACTCGATACCCAATAGTCTGATTGTGTTGCTCCGTGTGCCAATCATCAGCTGAGACGCTTGTGTCTCGCAAGTCCCCGATAAGCTACTGATGATATTTGATGTCACTTTCACTCAGCTTCCAAAAGAAAACTTCTATCACTTGACATTAGTAAGAAGCATCAAACACTTGACGATACGAATTCTAATAATTGTATTTAACATATTCTCTCGCAGGCGAGAGTCCAAAACGGAATCAGTGGAACTTGATGACTCGCCAAGCAGTCCCACTCCTGGGGTACGCGGTCTTTAGACACCTGACACTTAAACCCCATAGCTGTTTATGCGTTTGTTCGGTGCACAATCTTTCCTTGGTTCGTTTTGTAGTAGCATATAGCATACGTCTGGTCAAGCATGTGCAATGATTAACACTTAAACCCAACAGTTGTTTGTGCGTGTGTTCTGCGCATAGCCTTTCCTTGGTTCGGTTTGTAGTAGCATATAGCATAAGTCTGGTCAAGCATGTGTAATGATTGACACTTGAGCTCAACAGTTGGTTGTGAGTGTGCTCAGAACATAGCATTTCCTTGGTTCGTTTTGTAGTAGCATATAGCATAAGTTTGGTCAATGATGTGATATGATTGGCACTTAAGCCCAACAGTTGTTCGTGTGTGAGTTCAGCGCATAGCGTTTCCTTGGTTATTTTGTAGTAGCACGTAGCAAAAATTGGATCGTGCATGTGTATCGATTGGTCGTGATGTGCGTGTGTACTCAGCTGGGCAACAGCGTTGTACGCAGCCGTTTTCTATTAGTTATGTAATTAAGACTGTTTCGTAGTCGGGCGACTACGACTCGTTACCACGTGTTTTGAAGAGTTTCGTTAAGAGTTAATTATATGCCTTCATTTATTTTATGTTCTCATGTGGCTTGAACATTGTGCTCCTCATCATTGACATCAATACTCTCCGCCCATGTCTTCATCTCATAACCAGATACGCCAGTTGCCACCAGTCGACACCAAACTGAAAACAACATTTATTGACCCGATGGCTGTGACTGTACTCAGAACAATCGGTAATGGCAACTTTGGCGTTGTGTCCGAGGGCAAACTCAGTGTAGGAGAGGAGACGCATCACGTAGCCATCAAAGAGTTGAAACACAAAATGGCGGTCGCCAAGGACGAAGAGTTGCTGGCGGAAGCGGTATGGGATGTACAAACTACTATTTGTGGAACGTTTCGTTCAGTTGTAGATGTATCTGTATGAATATATGAATTCATGAGAGCTGATTTATGAACAGTCATAGTATACAAGCAAAACTATTGAAACAACATTTTGTCTTGGCTCGCAAGGATTTCTACATGCATGTACGCGTGTCTTTATGCAGATTGAAGGTGATTTTCAGTAGTGGTCATGTCATATTTCCATTTAGTTTCGTACTTGAACTTATTCATTAATACGTCGATGGATCCATCTCTGTGCATAAAGTATGCCCTCGCTGAAAACCTAGGTACAACTGAAGTGCAACAAAAAAATACGTTCATCGATCTGAAGTATCAATACCCTGCTTTAGTCCACAACTCCTCAACTTACACGCATGCCCATATAATGCGCAGGCGGTCATGACCCAATTGTACCACGACAATGTGTTGCGCTGTTACGGAGTGTCCATATTGACCGAGTCAAATAGCCCTTGTTTCTTGATGGAATATATGTCGGGGGGTAGCCTCAATGAATACCTTGTAAGGTATGTTCACTGAAATACACGTGAAATAATGGAGTTATACTTCGTGTGACAGAAATGTAGGTTCTCAGTAACGTTAAATTAGTTATCATATTGAATTAAACTTCGTTATCTAAAGTGAGAACATATGGTGATGTTATACGGAGGAGGCATTGGCTATCAAGTTGATTTATAAGTTGCCCATGCAGACTTAGAATCATTGCAGCAACCTGGTAGAGTAGACGTTAGTAAATCTGGCCATTTTGGATACCTTCAGGAATACAGACCTCTCCTTGAAACGAGCTTCTGCGGTTGTGGTGAATTAAGTACAAGCGCGCAAACACATACACTTGTACACGCACAGGTAAAAATCTCACATGTTTTCCACTGACCGATAGGAATCACGGAAAGATTTCCATAGCGGTTCGAATATTCTTCGCTCATCAAATCGCGCGAGGGATGGCATATACGATAGCAAGAGGCATAGTTCACAGAGACTTGGCCACCCGTAATGTCATGCTGGGTCCGATGTGCCCAGGAGAGAGTAAAGTGGCAGTTTGCGCAGTAAAGTTGGCTGATTTCGGGATGTCCCGGTATTTCACGGAGGGTAATTACTACCAGATGGCGAATCAAACAGGTATGCATGCGATTTGGGATTCGGGGTGAAATGTGTGTGGATCGATGCAAGTGCATCTCTGCTTCATAGATTTGTTTGTAGTTGTATGATTGTCTGTGGTAAATTGTGTTTGCAAGTCGCAACAAAATGCACTTTCGGCTTATTTGATATTCATCGTTGACTTGAAGATGTATATATTGAGGAACATAGGAACTAAAGGCAAGGCAAGAGATTGGCATCTTGTACATGCTCGAAGCATTCTTGTCCAAAACGAGATTTATCACTCACCTGTAAAAGTCGCCAGAGCGATCTCCTCAGTTGTCCATACTGTCATGTTCATTATACTATATTGCAATACATGAAACAACCTTTATATTGGGTGCTTATTCTGACTGACAAATCGAAAATACCTGTACAAACAAGTCAAATATACGATTTTATACAAATACTAGGTGAAGATAAAGAATGGCGTGCTTATCGTGTAAAATTGGTATATGAAAGCCACAGCTGTCATACATTATCTCAAAGAGCCATACCGAACCATTTATACGTGCGTACTGCTCTGAGATATGCAGTCTCCAAATACGTCGTAGTCTCAGACTCTGCAGTCAATATATGTAATTAACGCACGAAATAGCCTCGTTTGTAGCGCTAATTGTATGTGCTTTTTGCTTTCAACAGTAGAAGAAGAGCTCTCTTTTATTTTTCTATCAGTCCAATGTGAACTAGTACCGAATGAAAGTTCTTACAAACTTCATATCATAACACACTCTCTTATTTTTAACATATTGATCTGCTATATGTCGCACGCCCATCTACACATACATGTCATTGTAGCCACAATATTGAATGCACACTATCCTTTAATCATCAAGTTAACACTAGTGAAAAAAGCTCACCCAACAAACCTCGTGTTACCGTCAATCATACTTTGTACGTATGACTTGATCATGCTGTATTCGATCACTTGTACTATACGGAATGTTGTTGATTAATCTTCACCCGTGAGGATGTCAGTATTAATTTTTGACAGTCAATGAGAGGTATGTCATCTGTCAAGAAAGAAATTCATGTATATGAAGGTTTCAATCTGATATCAAGTTTGGAATTAATCGATCGATGTGATTGAAGTGTTTCTGCCTCAATGCCTCCTACTGATTTTATCGATTGTAGTATTGCTAACGTGTAGCCGGGATTTAACCAATGAAAAACTGCGACAGCTTTCGAACGATGATCTTGTCGGACGATGCTGAGTTGCTAGTGCCTCTCGTACAATACGAGCTAAACTTGCGAGTGTAGCTACCGAATTTAATACTAAGAATGAATTTTCGTGCTGCCAATCAAGTATTTATAATAATCAAAAAGGTTCAGCTGTGTATGTCTGATATTATTCTTAGGCCCGCTGCCGATTCGGTGGATGGCGCCGGAAGCATTAACGCTATCGAAATTTGACGAGAGATCGGACGTATGGAGCTTCGGTGTATCCCTTTGGGAGATATTCAGTGGTGGGAAAATACCATACGAAAATATAGAGGTGCGTGACCGTGCAAGTTTTACACACTAATTTGTGTTGGGTATATATCCAAGAATTAGATTCGATATATTGGATTGAACTCCATGTATTTTGATTTATATTCGGTGTGGTCTGAATATGCAATGTCGTATGAACCACTTGCCGGAAACATGCTCTAGTTTACGGAAACTTTAATGCGTACTTAACGACAGGGATTTACGCTGTATTGATTGCGTGTATGCAAATATACTTCTATCGATGTTTAATATTGATGTATGTTCAGGTCTTCTACAGTGGCCATAGTAGAGAAGAATGCATATATCTGTGTGTACGTCTAAAATGTGTGCGTCTATGCGAATGCATGTATACATGTCGATAGTATTACCACACGTATGAGGAGAGAGGCTAGTTGGGAATGGTCGTCCTTTGAACTAAGACATGATACGCGGAACTAAGACGTTCCACACTATATAGTGTTCTAGCATTTTTAACTTTTCATAATTGATTACGTCTTTGTATGCCGCCACCCTCTAAATTCTACATATAAATCTTAAATTCTTCCGACAGAGTCACAATCTCTTCACATCAATAGATAATGGGCTGCGATTGAAAAAGCCAGAAAGCTGTCCTGACGTAAGTGCAATATTTTATAGCTTTTCATCATATCGTTGGTGTGTTGGCGGGAAATATATAATTGCTTCAATGACAATCTCTGAACCGTTATTACCACTCTTATGAACAGTCAGAAATGTAGCGAAAGTAAAATGAGGGAACACCTGTCGCCCCTGGCCCTACACATACATCATATACCAATCCCATTGGTCCCCTCAGTCATGTCTGTGTGCTTGATATAAAAATTAAGAAACAGTACACCGTGTCGTGGGAGTTCGCGTGCAAACCTGCAATATTTGTGATTTATGTACGTGTATCTACGTAGATATCTGGCTAATTATACACATGATACGAGGGGTATGAGCCAGTTCCTCAATCCGCTCGAGCAACCGATACTAGATCGGGTCCGAAAATGTGCACTGTCAACATCTAAACAAATATGAAGCTGGCGCCTGTATTTTGAAGATTGTATTCCCCACAAATATGCCTTCTCTTTATACTGAAACTCCCATTCACTATCAATAGTGAACCCAATAGCCTTTAAAGTATTGCTTTGTTTACTCTATAATATGTATCCAATCATACCGCAGAGTATACACAACATCATGCTGCAATGCTGGGAGACGAACCCAAAGGACAGACCATGTTTCTATACCATTGAGAGGCGCCTTAGGGCAATACTGTGCTTTTATGAACCAGAGCTAGTCAATACGGTGGGTGACTACTAGTTTCAGATGTTTGCCTTGACAATTTTCTGCAAAGTTTATTGTCGATTTCGAATTCAATAGCTATTGCGAAATTTTTATTGTTATTTACAGTTGTCTTATTAGATAGCTGCATGATAAAGGGGATGAGTAATTGTACATCCTGGCATTTGAATACAGCAGTGTTTGGTTTGCCTACATCTTGATTGTTAGAGTGTCTACAAGCAATAATTTAGATTCTCAAGCTTTGTGTTTCATTACCATATACAGAAGCGCACAGCTTCGCATCTTCCGATGGATCTACCTCATGCAGTGTTGGCCTACTCTACTCTGTGCAGATAAATATAGTTTTTTCTTTCTTTTTCCTTTTCTGTAAAGCAATACCTATGTATGCAATCACGCACAACGTACGCCTTCGTTCACTCAAAAAAGGTAGTTCGACACGAGAAGATTGATAATTCGACGAGACCATATGTAGCATTTTTTGTGAGTATTTACTCAAGCGAGCAATCAAAGTAGGTTCTAGGTTGACTCATATACACATGTGTAGCACTCTCGAGAACTATGCGCACCTACCCTATTCGTGCGGGGTGAGGGCAAAAAGAGTACATATGATCGCTGTATTTGATGACGATCTCAAACAATCCTAGCTGATAGTGCAAGCTGTTGGTGCCCAAATTGAATAGATAGTCGGTACAACATATACCCACATGCATAGATGTATACTTCTTGCACACCAGGATTTTATAAGTAAAGCTCGTGCAGAACATACCAGACTCCCATGGATAGTGAGTGTTTCGTTAGATTTATAGTATATACTATGCGCGCGTGTTTGATTAAAAATAGTACGCTAACACAGGTTTTACGTGCTTGCTTTGTTTAGATGACGGAAGACGTATACGGCTACGTTGACATGGAGCGCACTATGCTGGGAGCAGGTAGCGCTAGCATTAATGTGCTCCATCCAGGATATAATATAATGGTAACTGAACAGGACCGAGGAAAAAGCTTAAAGGTAAGTGTTCACCAATCTGTCAACCAATGCTTGGTTTCTAAGTGTATCTGGTTATATCAACGTCTATTCGAGCTCATCCTTCCTGAATGTGACGAAATTACGCGGCATTTTACTCAACCCGTATTAGGGTACATCTGTAGCGACCTTCGCTCACATTCTCGCAATAGTGAACAAATATTCATATACGTGCTATGATTGGTGGTAAGTGTTTAAAGTGCCATCTGGAACTTTGCTCGGCTGGGATCGAGACTTGGAGAAAAGAAGGTAATGTATGACAGATGGTGAGCCAAGGGTTGGATCTGCGTTCACTGTGTAATCTAAAGGAAGTCGTTTCAAACTTCCTAGAATGCGCGTGTAGCAGCTAAAAACGTATACGTACTCGTATTGGACACTCGTAGATCGAGAAAGGCTAATCCGTATCTCTAACTTCTTAATTCACAGCAATTAGAAAAGGCAAGATCGACGCGAATCCGACGGAACTCAGAAAAGAATTTAATGGTTTCTAACGTGCAACATAAGAAATCTCAGAGTTTGAGTATTCTCGAGGGTATAGCAATTCATAGTATTTCAAATGATTCAACGATACCTAATAATTGACAGAATCGCAAACGAACTAAGAGGTATAACTAGTGCCTGTCACTGCTCTGATTTCCTGACAAAGCTTATGAGACAATACTGGACAATAACTATACACACGACACTCTCTTTGGAGGCGCGTGCATAATATGATAAAATCAGACTCATGCTTGATACGTGACTTCACACTACATATCGGCAGATGCAAATGCACAGTTTCAAATTTTTCACAATCTTATCGATCGTCCGCTTGCAGCTCACTCAATAAGACATCTGAAAGTTAAACCGAGCATTCTTTGTATTCGACAGTTAAATTAATATGACTCGTGCCAACCATGTTTGTTGGTCCAGACCGGCGATATTGATAGTTCTAGCAAGGAGTATTGGAAGTAGAATATTACTGATCATTCGCAGTGGCCGATATATATTACGTCAACTTATGCGACTAAGCAGGATTGAATTTAGTTGCATAGAAATATCTTTTGTTATTAGTCAAAGACCATGTCTAGCAGAGTTTCAGGTCAAGGAACCGCTGGCATTCCTTGATCACACGCTTCGACGAGTACAAACTTAACTTAACTAAGGACTGCTGTATTTGTTATGTGAAAATTATTTGTAAAGCTAAGATCGCAGGTTTACGATTCAATAACGGTTTGATAATGTATATTTTACAGTGACTATAGGTCTCAGGCCAGATTTTACAGCAAGAAACCCTCTTTGATTCATAGAAGTCATCAGAGTTAGCTCACTCCCGAGAGCTAATCAAGTTGCTTAAATTACTCCCGAGATTTGAGTTAATATTTAACCGACTTCCGAGAGTAGATTAAGTTTCTCAACCAACTCTCAAGAGTGGATTGAGTCTGCCAACAGAAACATTCTAAAAATAGCTGCCGTTCTATGTGAGTTACAACCTATGCGGAAAGGCATCATGTGATCAGCGTGAGATTTAGTTACAGATAAGTCGAAATAGAATAGCATGGAAGTGTTAAAGTGTTCTACAGAAAATTTCTCATACTGACCACATGAGTTTTTACCCTGGCCAGCCCAAGTGGCTGAACTAAAACCCTAAAACCCTAAAACCCTTAAGATGCTGATTAAGACCTTTTTAAACATTACTCAGCTGAATCTTCGACATCCTTTACTCCGAGATCAGCGACACCACTCTCCTTCACCGTTAAAAAACTGTGCTTGTAGAAATACTCGAAGTATCGAAACGAGTGTATCACTGTAGCATAATAGGACCAGATTATCAAAAAAACCAATCCAAAATTAAAAACATCAGATTTATCAATATTGAGTTTAGGAATTAGGAATCAAATATTTCTGATATTAGAGTCATCAGAAATATTAGCGGTAGAATCGGTAAGCTATACCGGGACTCCGCGTGTGAGAGAAACACTCAAGTAGAAACCTGAGTCTAGTGGATTAGAAAACCTGAATATAGAATCAGTTCAGTTCTCTCGGATTAAGGACTTTTCCTAGCTGAGATAACCGTACTTGAAAAGAGGTCTATTGTATCCTTTGGCTCGTACCTTTCAGCTACTCTACATACTCTACTTCGTACGACAGTGTTGTCAACGAGACACATCTGTAGTCACCTCTGTCTGTAGCCCTTTACGAAGCAGGCTATTGCCAACTATACAGATGCAGAAGTCTACTTTGACTTCTCTATTAACTACTGTACTCGAGTGTCAACTACGATAACATCATCGGCAGTGTATATATCGGCAAAATATCGCGTATGGTCAATGATGAAGCATATAAATATGCTCCACAACAAAATACCTGTGTCAACTTCAAGCAGATCTACATTTGTAACACATTTGTCATAACCATGTGCGACTCTAATATCGATTTATTTTCTGTGTACATACTTTGAATGTTGGCACAAGCAACGCATCTCTCAAGAACCGCCTACTGCTCTACCGTATGCTGCTGGTGTCACACCTAATTATGATTTAAAGACGTAGCAACTTACCGGAATGGTTACGGACCATACAGCCGCACAATATCAGAATAACCAGTTGTACCACAAAGTGCTACCTCTAGTGGGGCACAGCACGTTTATGCTCTAACCTCTGTGGGTGCTGCGATACAAAAGAACATTCCGTTCTCTTACACAATTAACTGTACCACATGTATCAAAAGAGGACACGTCAATGATATATACAGTGAACATACCAATAACTCTTGCACAATTAACTGTACCACATGTATCAAAAGAGGACACGTCAATGATATATACACTGAACATACCAATAATAGACAAACACAAACTGAATATTTAAATGTATAGTCGATTTCCAACACTGTTACTACACCAAGTTGAACTTGTCGTATTTTTCCTTGAAACGAAAGACAGCAAAATCAAGACAAAATTCGTCAGATGGATTCTAGTTTTAAAATTGGATTCATTTATCTGGACACAGACTTGGCTCAAGGCACAATACTTTTCAAGATGCATCAGAAGTTCAACATGATTTCCCTTTAACATAACTTTACGCTGATCCATTCACCTCCGTCCATGGCAAATAAATATAGTCCGGTCCACGGAAGGCATAGACTTCATCTATTTGAGCTTCTAAATCAAATGTAGCACATAACTGTTTGTAGAAGTCCAGAGGGTTTGTATTTGCTAGTCTGATGCTATCGCACATAGTCTTGTAGTTTACTGACAGTTATACATTACCATCATTCATGATACATAAAATACCTACGTTGCAATGATACCACTTCTATGGGAAAACTAGGTTGGTTATTCACATATCACTCGTAGCTCACTTAGGCCCCACCCACAAACATGCCACTGTCTCTGGTACAGAGTTCTTCGCTCTCAGCAGGTTGTTGTGTTGACGATGAAGCTATTTGTAGCTGTTCTGAGTTTTTCGACTTTTGTGTCACAGTTGGCTGGGTATTGTCCTTGCGTCTGTTTAAAAAATCGCCAGTCACTATTTTGAGGAATGTACTGCTGTTCGTAGTGTCTGGTGGTGCGATAGCGGTTGTACTTTTGTTGTCGTCCCAGACAGAGAATTCGTCTTCGGATATATAGACGTCTCGGATTTGTATTATTGTACATTTACTGACTTTATCGTGCAAAATTTGTTCAAATTTCAAATAAAAAGCCTTCGACTATATCAATTTTTGACGAATAAATTTGTTGAGGGAGGATATGTTGTCTTTTATTTTTTGTTGTTTGTATATGCTACTTATCTCACTGCCTAGTGCGCAACTTACGTGGTCGATGATGCTCTTTTACAGGACCATATGAGAATTGTATTTCCATCTTACTATATAAATCAGCTCTAGCAGGAGTTGGCATACTATCTAATATAATATCTGTAGCGTTACTTTATACAATGTCCAATATCCGTTCCTTCGATTCAACGGGATCAAAATTTCGGACACATGTGCTGCTCCCTTTGTAGACATACGCAACATGCACAACATGTAAATCCTTTGATTTGTGTACAACTCATCTATGTATTTGAAATATCGTATAGAGCGTGAAAGGTTAGTATATATATGTATTA